TTGTTAATATTTTCAGGTATTCTTTGCAAAATACATAAGTAAAAATTATCTGCTTGGCGAAAGCTGCAGCGTACATTTAGTTGTGCAAATGGAAATTGATTCCTCCGAGGAGGGAAATAATGACCAATTCAAAAATACATCTACCCACGAGGTGTTTGCTCAAATAGGGTCAACAAAAGATTCCATAAATCCGAAAAATTTCGAAAGGCGCAAGCCTAGTTTTGTTTGGAAATATTTTAGACGTAGTAGTACCACTGAACTAGAGTGCACTATTTGTGCCGGCAGTGTTAGTAATAAAACTAGCAACTTAGCCCGACATTTGCTTGCAGCACACGATATAAGTAGACAGTCACATCAAACTGAAGAGGTAACGCACATTATCGACTCAAACACAGTTCAAGTTTAAAAGAAAACTATTACATATTCACAACAGGAATTCAATAAGCCTACACATAACAGTGTACTGGGTCGTCCAAGCCGAAGTTTTATCTGGAAATATTGTACCAAAGAAGACTGCAGATACGCGCGCTGTCATTTATGCAAAAAATTACTATACTTTGGTGGCGGAAATACAGCAAATCTCGCCAAACATCTACGACGAAAACATACCGAAGTTATTAGTATTCACGAGTTGGGACCAGCAAAAGTTATGGAAGATTCAGAAGACTTAGTTGCAGAGATGTCCAATCAAATGGACTCGTCCATTAATAATTGTGATGAAGAGATATATAAAGTACAACGCGAAAACAGTTCCGATGCGGTTCGCTTACGCAAGGAGCGCAAGGGAAGCAGCTACGTTTGGAACTATTGCGATAAACTTTCAAGGCACAGAATTCGTTGTAAACTTTGTAAGAAAGTTATGAATTTTCATGGCACTGCAAACGTAATAACGCATTTGCAACGTCGGCATAATATTGTTGGACGCGTCGAAAACGAAGCGGCAAGTTGTTTTGCATTGCTTACTTAAATATTTAAAAATAAATTTCATAATCACTATAGGAAATTTTAAATATTATCGAAGACGATAATGGAATGGCCGATGTAAAGGAGGAACCTGACGCAATTGTTCGCCGACACAGACGATCATCCGCGTCTACGAGCGTTGTTTGGAAATATTGCAAAAGGCTTGGTCAGGACGTTGTGCGTTGCAGTTTTTGCAAGAAAAATCTTTCCTTTCAAGGCACAAGTAATTTACAAAGGCATTTACATCGCATGCATGGAATTGTTACACGAGGACGCGGCTTTAGCGGATCGGAGCACGAATTAGCAGATATCGACGAAAATTTTATATGGGAGCATTGTGAACACACGGACGATGGCAAAATTAAATGCAATATGTGTAACCACACGTTTGCTGGTAAAGGGTTTGAAGAAATTCGTAAACATCTTACAGGCACGCACTCAGTCCTTTCGAACCCTCCTGTGAAGACACATACACGAAAACGACGAAAACAACCAGAGGTTATTTAAATT